AACTGATCTGAAACATTTTTTAAATCATCCGACAGTTAATTTAAATGGGAATCCTTTATTGAATTGAGAAGAAACGTTAAAACATATGTATCCGACATTATATCTAATCGCGATGCAATATTTGTCCGTAGTAGCAACGTCTGTTCCNTCCGAGCGACTTTTTTCCAAAGCCGGGAATATTAGCGTACATGATAGGAATCGTCTCTCATCTAAACATNTGCAGCAGTTATTATTTTTAAATTCTTTAAGTTTGATAGACTGGAATATATACAGTTTGTTTGGGTTGTCTAAATTTTCCATACTTATACAAAAAGTTTTAATTAGTGTATATTTTTATAAGAGTGAATATTAAAATTTAATTAAAGAATATGTTAAAATGATATGTTGAAGTAATATGTTGAATTACTGTGATTATACGTTGATTATATTGTACTGTGATTATTATAGCAATATTATAAACATAAGTGAAAGTTTAATTATAATAAAAATACTTATTTCATAAAAAATTATGCAGGTGAATTATTTATATACAAAAACATGCAAACTTTAATTAAAAGAAAGAATACCTACCAAAATAACATTTATGAAAAAAATCTACTATTAGTTTCACTAATAATAATTAAAAACTTAAAGTTATTTTAATATTTGATTACTAGAGTTTTAATGCAACAAATAGCAGGATATTGAATACTGAACATAATACTTACGTATTTTTTGATAACTTTTTTTCTTTTTTAACAGATCTGTTTGTGTTGCTTGAACTGGCTACANTAGTTCAGAATTTATCTTTTTTCCTTCACAAGTTTTGAAAAGAGATAGATAAACTCTAAATTAGTGCAGCCAGTTTAAGCAACAAAAATAGACCTATAGTATAAAATTTTAAAACACAATATTTTGTATCGATATTTGAATTATCGATACTTTTGTTTCGATATTTTACTTGTATCAATACACAGCGCCTCGATACAGAATCGATACAAATATCGATACAATTGTATGTATCGCACATCTCTAGAAGTCACGCACACGGACGGTGGTTCTTGCTTGTGTGCGTGTCCCCACCACCTCGGTGCTCTTGATGCTAGCCTACTAAATCTTTCATCACTGACAGTCAGTGACTGACTCTGTCTCTCGTTGCTCTGACAGTCACACACTTACGCCTACAGAGTCAGGACCATCGCTTCTCACGCG